CACAGAAATATCTCAAATGGCTAGAAACAGTAAAGGGACACGACATTCAACATTGGGATAATGGTGGAGAAAAGAAACTGGTTCTAAAAACGGCAGAAAAATTTATGTGGATGGTTATTACGAGAGGAGAATGGGAATCAGCACATTGTCGAAGTTCACGGATGTTACTATCACGGCCATACTTGTCTTCCAAACCGTCATCAACTAGGACATAGGGGAAAAGAGGCTGGAGAACTCTATGCTGAAACATTAGCACGTTCTCAAACAATTCGAAATGAGGGCTATCTTTTGGAAGAAATCTGGGAATGTCAAATTCGTCAAATTTTGGATGCAGACCCAGAAATGGCAAAATTTTTCGACGAAGTGAAAGTTATTGGCGTTTTGGAGCCCAGAGAGGCATTTCTGGGCAGCCGAGGCAAACGTTTAGAACAATTACTAAAGCATCGGATGACGAGGAAATTTCTTACGACGACGTCAATTCGCTTTATCCCTTTATTAACTGCAAGACCGAGTATCCTGTGGGGAAGTATAAGCAAATTGTTAGGCCGCGGCTTCCCGAAACGCCCACTCTAGAATGGAGGGATGCGACGCCCAATGGACTCTATTATAAACTAAAATATCGAGGATTCTATTATTGTCAAGTTTTGCCTCCAAAGGACTGTAAGATTGCTATTCTACCAGTACGCTACAAAGAGCAGTTGATCTATCCATTATGCAATGCTTGCATGGAAGGCTGCATCAATTCTGGGAAGAATCTGGGAAACGTGAAATGTGACCACTTGGTTGGGGAGCGATATATTCGAGGAATATGGTTTAGCGACGAACTGGCTATGCTTTGGAGAACGGTTATCGCCTAATTCAAGTCTATGAAATTGTTTATTGGCCTGAGAAACAATGGACTAATCAATGGTATTTACCGAATACTTCAAAAAGATGATTGCTATTAAGCAACAAGCCTCTGGATGGCCTGTTGACTGTATTAACGAGGTGTGCAAGCGGAAATATGTAGAGGAATTTGAGAAGCAAACGGGCATTATTTTGGATCCATCGAAGATTGAACGAAACGAAGGATTGCGTTATTTGGCAAAAATTATGTGTAATAGTCTTTGGGGTGAATTTGGACAAAAAGCTGATCATGCAAATGCAAAGTTGTTTGTAAAAATAGGGAAGACATTCTGACCGTAATTTCAGAACCAATAATGTCGTTTTGACTGGTGAACACGACTTTCCGGAGAGCGGTTTCCGCCTTCCGAAGACTAGAGCACGCAGCGAAACAGTTCACTCCACATCAACTGGTTCTTTGGCTGTTGCTTGTATCCACTACTGCAGCTGCACGCCTTCACATGGTGATTAATGAGGGAATTGGAAGGAGGCTGGGGCCATCTTAGCCCTATACCGACACTGATAGTATTGTCTATCTTCACAAAAGAGACTCTCCAGCAATTAAAGGCTTTAAGTCCTTGACATTGCGGAAGTAGCTTAGGTCAACTATCTAGCGAAATACATCCAAATCACCGTGGGATGATTTTCGCTCGCCTGGACCAAAGCAACACGTTCTACGGGAAATTGACGACGAGGGAAACGTAAAGGATACGGCCAAGTTGCGTGGTATCACCCAAAATTAGCGAAAATAAGGGGGAGGCCACGTTGGAAAATCTTGGGCTGCAGACTCGAGCTCTGATAGAAGGTCGGCAAACTGATATTGAACCAATAAGATTCGTCTATCAACGAATTAAAAGAATTTATTTTGGAAAGATTTACAATCAGCCTGTTAATATCGACTATTATGCTAGAAACCTTAAAGGATTGCTGCTTGAGGATGGTCAAGTTCTCCCTTATGGCTATAATTTTGATTGTTGTGATAAGTTGTAAACATTGTATGCGATAAATATTTTGTGTAAAAACATTGCAAGTTACAGGGAAGGGGTGACGCAGAAATGCCACAATTGCAGGGGACTGACGCATAGGGCCCATAATAGTAGGTGGTTGTATTCAGATTTCGTTCTATCGGTTATTTGATGATGATGACGTCAAAAAATTGCGCATCCCGCAAAAGACAGCCCATGCGACTTCCGGTACTGGACTGTTATCAGGGGGGTCTAGTTGGTAATGCCCTTATTTTTGCCCTCAGACTGTACGGCCCTATCAAATAGAAATTATCTTTACAGCATTGCACACAATTTTTAGATGCAAAAACATCAGAAAATTTCGAGTATCATGGCTGTTTGGCCAAAAAAAATATGAAAAATAACCAGAATGCCAAAAATTTCAAATTTTAAATACTTTTGATAATTTCCTAACAACTAAAAAAGAAAATAAAAAATACGCTATATATTAATCACATCTAAATATAAGCAGATTGGAAGAATTAGCTTTCCCCGCCAGCCCCCCTCCCCCTGCTAACAGTCCAGCACCTGCAAAAATTAACGGCAAGATGAAGGCAAGGCTAAATTTTGTTTAACGAGCTCTGGGACCAATTCCAAAAGCTACTTTTAGCCCGCCCCCGCCTGCCAAGAGAATCCTACACCAGCATGACCCCCCCCCCCCCCGGCCCCGTTAATGGGCCGTAATATCCAGTTTAGCCGGGGGGTCGGACGACCCTCAAATTGGGACCTTTTGGACGGAATGGACCCGCAGAAAGGCAGGTGAGAATATATAGAGATGCTTCATAGAGACGGGGGGATTAGACTGGACCACCTCAGAGACCCACCGGGCCCTCGTGTAGTCCAATCTCTGCCAATCCCCCCGAATCATAATCTCCACTTCGAAAACCTCCTTTTTGAGAACCGGAGGGCGGGGGTGACGTTAAAAGCCGGGAGATGGATCCGGCGGGTCGAAGCCCCGATCAAACTGGCGAGAGCACTGGATGTGTCCTGGTCAGCCCAGCTGCCCCAATCCACGTAATCTGTACAAATATGGAATCTATGAGGCACACTTCGAATTTCATCGACGCCAGACTGACTGCTGGGGATCAAACGCCGCAAAGGAATTTCAAAAGGGGAACTGGAATGCGATATTCAGCAGAGAATTGGAACTCGGAGCGTAGCGTTGGCGAATACTTAGCTGTAGGAGACTCTTTTTGACAATTTCATCCCCTACCACAGTTTCCAAAGCATAACCCGAGAGTTCGAGGAGAGAACGACATCTAGGAAATAAATATAATAAATCCTAGAAAAATGACACCGATTAATTCATGAAATCATAATAGTAAAATTAATTTATTACAAAAAACAAGTAGAATTCGAATCCCAAAAACTGCTCAACGCCACGAATTCGATTTTTTTTGGTCGGCGGCGCTTCGGGCGGGGGGCGGGGCGGACATTGACGCAAATGACTACGGTATCTCAGGGGATTTAGCGGGAGATTTCTCACACAATTGAGCACGAGCAGTCGGGCAAAGTTCGTGAACGCATCACTTTTTTGAGGGTTGAAATTCGATTAAAAAATGCGCACTCTTGAAAACGCCAAGTTGTAGCGGGAAATACTAACAGTATTTAGTAGTTTTTTGGGTAGAAATTCGTTTTGAAAAAGGTACACGCTAGAAAACCTCAGTCCCTAGCGTGGGAATACTAACAAATTTCATTTTTAAGCTTTAAATTAACACGCTAACCCACGATTTTGGCATCAGGTTTTGAAAAAGTTTTTGACCTCCCGAAAAAAACGGGTTTCCGACAATCTGGAGATCCTCAGAACTTTTATAAATATTAGAGACGACTCCATGTATGACTGATCTCCCTTTTCTTCTCCTTCCCAAGCAAAGACTTCTTTCTTCTGTTACCTGTCGTTCATTAGGAGGCCGTCCATAGCAACCGTGTGTGGCCATACCCGCCTATTCTCAAAGCCCCCGTCAATCCCCTGTGGCTCCATTCGGAATTATCTAGAACCCTTCGCACGGCCCAGCCCGCCCCGGCCATTCTTCGTAATTGGCATCTTGATTTTCTCAGTATTACCGAAAGCCGGGGGAGTTCAACGTCGCAGCACAGCTGAAAGTCTCGCCAAAAGTCACAAGACTAGACACAGGAGAAACGTGTATAGTTCGAGCCTGCGAGCAAATTTGGAAGGTCGGCTAGCCTTACAAAGTATGACTCCCAAGGGCATCGTTACGCAATACGCTTTGTAGTCTATAGTTTAACGTATTAAAACGTCCACTACCCAAATTAGCGAATATTAGGTGGCGTACGATCAAGGTTAATATTTCTTGCATCCCTTTAAAACCCTACTAAAGCCAAGTTTCTTTAGTAAAAGCGTCATCAACCCTCATATGTCTGCTCCGCGAACTATACAAATAGGGACCATGCCAGTTGCGCAACGACATTTGAGCAACTGGGGCAAAAACGATGTTTGAGCAACCACCGTTTTCCCGCGTTTACTAAAAAATCATTGTTGCTCAAACGTCGCTTAGCCCTAATTGCTCAAAGGTCGTTGCGCAACTGTCATTGTCCCACAAATAACCAAACGGAATCTTGAGAAGAACCGAGCCAGGTCTATCTACGGTAATTCGGGACGGGATCCGGTTTTCTGGAAGAAGCCACCTTCTTCACTTCCAAAGTCTCTTCCTTCCACGATAAGAGCAGCATCTCGGACAAGAAGTTCATGTTTCCCCTAACAAGGGAGAGAGCACCAGGAAGCTCGTCGGGCACACCATTTCGCACCACGCTGAGCACGGGAAAACCGGTCTTTTGAACCCCGGCTGGAAACGGGGTTGGCTTCTTTGTCCTTTTAGTATTCAAGTTCAACGATATTGTGCTTGATCTTTAGACACGTTTCTCCTTACGGAGAAAGTAATTGCTAAAAACCATAGCCCCGACGCGACGAGTACTTCTTGTGCTATTGGCCCAACCCCAAACTGAAAGGCTTTATAGGGGGGAATGTCTGCACCGATGCGGGGGATCACAGGATGAGAAGGGCTTTTGGCAAAGAGCTTTTGGCCTTCTCGTGTACACGTATCGCTTCGTACTGATTTGAAAGGGGATCTTGGGGGATCTGGAGGAGGATTATTATGCGGGACGACTGCTGGTGGTCGCCGGATATGAGAAATGGGGCTGCAGCGGCGGTCGTCTTGGTGCCGGAAACGGTTGCATCTGGGGAGCCATCTGAAAAATGGAGGTGGATTGAAAGGAGCAATGCTAGCACTTTAATAGCATTTTGAAAAAGTATAAATCTGTTTCAAATGCAAAAACTATTTACAAAACTTGGAAAAAATGTGAAATTTTGATCGGAAATCTATATTTTTTGTATTTTTAATAAAGATGTGTGAAGGTTTTACGTTTAGAAATGGCAAAAACAGTTTATAAACGCTTCATCTATTTAGGTAAAACTAAAAATTTGACCATAATGGGGAATTCCCCCACCCCGGCAATCCGAAATTTCCTTCCTCAACTGAAAACCTACGGTGTAATAAGCGTTGTACGTAAATTGTTGTGCTTGGGAAGAATGGATCGAATCTCGTGGAACCCTCGGCTCGAGTCCATGAAGCCGAGAGGTAGAGGCGACAGGCTGAAGTGGCCATGGAGGGGCTGAACTGGGGCATGGATCAGATACAGGTTGAGAAGAAGCTCGAGGGCGGCCTTCTTTAGATCCGGAACCGCTTGGCGCTACTTCCTAAAAATGAATATTTCAGTAAGGCCAATTCGCTAAGTCACCTCGTCCAAATCGTCAAACATCTCGGCCAACGTGTAGTCGGTTGGGGCCTCACGCAACGAAAACGGCATTTTCCGCGGTTCAGCTTCCACCGGCGAGTCGGTCGTCTCGGGCAATCGCCGCTTCTATACCACACAATAAGCGAGGAGTACAAAAGTACCCGAACGGCTAGTGGATGATCTGTTTGGACGGCGCGGTGGACCTTATGGGACAATGACAGGGCACGAACACGGTCGGTGGCCGCCTCTTCTTCGAACGGCTCGACCGGAAAACATCTGAACCAAAAAGTGACGCGTAAAACGGCGTGAATACCCGAATAGATTTCCCATCAAGGGGATCGAGGGCTCGGAGGAAAACGTCTGTGCAAATACCAGATTTTCGCACATTTCATTGGCGATTGTCTGGAATCGGAAAAGTTGCAAAGGCCTTGTAAGCTTAAAATGGAGAAAAAGACATACAGAAACTGTGGGAAGAGTGAGGAGTAGATTGCCAAAATGAACAGCAGAAAGCCCAGGTCTTGTCTCCCGCATCACAACATAAAGACATTCCTAATAACCTGACGTCGCTATTCAACTAACAGCTTACCTGGATCTTGTTCCGTAACTCCATTACCATATCGGACGTTTTCTCGGATAGATCTTTATAAACTGAAATCAGTTCCTGCCGGGCCATTCAATATCTTCTTACGAGGGTTTATCGCGAGAATAGCAGACAGACAGACGACCTCCTCTTCACGGAGACCCCATACTCGATATGGATGCACGAGATCGTCCAGCACACGATCCACAAGCCCATTGTTCCAATGGCTGCAATTTTTGTGATACTAATGTCAAATAGATGTCATTTTAGAGGCCTATATAAAACCTTCATTCCACCATTAACCTACTAGCAATCGTTGTACAGCTTGCCGACGTCCCGCGGAATGTAGGAGAAATTGCACATGCATAGCACCTCGTCAGATTCACGTGTGTTCAGTGCCGTACGAGCAGCCACCTAAATTTCCTGATTAGACTTCAAAAAGAAACCCGCTATACCTTGAAGACCAATAGCGGAAGGAAGCAACCTTTGACAAGGGCTATCTAAATAGAAACTATGGGATAGGAATTGGCTAATGATACCCGATCCTCGACCGAAGGGCGTTCTGGTAGCATTTCGGAAAGATATTCGACCCAGTCGATGGCCGCAATCAATCGGCGGAAAGCTATTGGCGACAATTCGCCATTACGACAAAGACGATCCCTTTCGTATCGCATCTATGAGTTTATTTTTTTTAATTAATTGATGTACCACTTTTTAACCTTTATACCAATTCTTAACCTTCTGTCATTTTGTATACGCAAGAAGTACCAAAAATAATAACCTCTGATCGTTTTCCATTCAAAATTGAGGGATCATCGAGCAATTCGCGTAGCGTCCTTGCTTTCAAGGGATACAAATTGGCAAGTTCTTGATTTGTATCTCCACGTGAGACCTAAAAATTTTGATTCTTTAAAAAACCCGCCCTGCCTTTAGTTCAAGATTGAGCAGCGTCATCAACATGGTCCGCATCTCGACGGAAAGCCGTCTATTCCACTCGTCGCCTCCATTCTGTATGCGTTCAGTGGTCTAAACAGGCATTCATCTCTCGAGTACCACAACATACCGCCGGTTCTGCCCGTGCAGGGGGCTTCTTCCTTTTTCGCTGTTTCCCGGTGAAGTCACGATCGGGGCGGACAGAAGCCGGCTTCATTCCGGCAGCCAGACATGCGCGTAGGCGGCAACTTCGACAATTTGTGCGAGCATCTGATGGGGATATTCCAGGTTAGTTATTTGCTTCTCGAGGCCCACCTTTAGTTATCTGGCAATTCCCATTGCCCAGGCATTCCAGTTGATCAATTTTCTTCAGGGCTCGCCGGAAAAATCTGAATCGAACGTAAGACATCGCCAAGGTTTAGATACCCTTTGCAGCCAACACATGCAACGGCTCCGTAGTGCATCTGGGCACCCGTTTGGCCACAAACGCGACACACATCTCCATCACCAGTCGGAGGCTCTTCTGATGAACCTTCAGACGACTCTGTAAACATTACCGCTATAGCGAAAACTTCAATTTGGTACTTTGGCATTATCGAAGGGGTGAGTTTTGACTATTATTCTTGCCCCCATTAAACTAGGTGTTATTGTAAACTTTGACCCCAATACCACTCGAAAAACTATCTAAAAATTATAAAAACCCAAACTCGATCCGATAATGCGAAAGCACCACGCAAATTTCCATTTCCAGTCTAGCACCCCAATCTTGGCAAGGCCCGTTATCTTTTCGTCACACGGAAAAATGGCCGAGTACATTTCGGCATTTCCAAGGGGTGCGCCAAAGAGAGAGAGAGAGAGAGAGAGAGAGAGAGAGAGAGAGATCGAGCGGAAGGACGGGATGATGGATTCAAGGCAACCAACATGGCGGCCCTCTCTAGTTTCTACCCCCAGCAGTTGCATAACAAGAGTGGTGGGGGAATGTGACAAAATGAGAGATCAAAACATGACACTGCCGGCTGATTCCGACCCACCCACGTTGCCCGGTCGCATCGGCCGTCAACAGGAAAGTATCGTCCGAAGTAGCGTGAAGAAAATTCGTCTGAAAACCGGAATGACCTTATTGATTGACCGATGGGGCAGAGGTCGAAATGTGGAAAATAGGGGGATAGGTGATAGGATGCAAAGCTCTTGCTGCGGGTTGATGACAAAAACAGAGAGAGAGAGAGAGAGAGAGAGAGAGAGAGAGTGATGTCGGCTTTCCGGTTGTGTTAATATCAAACACCAAAAATAGTTCGGAGCGACCAGTAATGATTTGGTTGACAATCTAGGCAGCCGCAACAATAGCTGCAGAGTTCAGTTCAGTTCTAGTGGCTAAATTGTCGAATTGGCACCATTTATGCAGAAAAAAGCAAGCCAGCAGCAAAACAAGCCCAAAAGCTATCAGAGCCACGTCGCAAAGCGCGTTTTTGAGCGGAAGTTGAAGCCGCGTCCCTGGGGGCCATCCACGGCAATCGAATTTTGGCTGCAATAGGGCCACCCCAGTTCGCGGTTTTGCCGTGGTGGGGAACAAGTGGGATCGAGGCCGAGCACGACGACATCAAAAAAGCTGAAGAGCGTCGAAAGGTGCTAGGCTTGAAATCTTTAACGGCTTAATGAACGTCTCCGAACGGAACAGCCGGAATCAAAACGGCTACGAGGATAGCAACAATAAAATAACTCGTGACAGTTTGTCAATAGCCGAAGTGTGGCCTACGAGGGGAAGAATTGACAAACACGTAAATGCACACACAGAGCAGACACGGCAGGCTGTGGAAAATGCGCGGAAAAGACACCCAAAATGGGTGAGATATTGTGGCGCCTGGGTGGGTGGTGCTCGGCTCGGCCGGCCATTCTGTCTCTCACCAACAGTCCACTCCCGTTTTCATGGGACCTGGCATGGCGGTCGAGGGGTGGAGGACGAGGAGGAGGACGGGGAGAAGAGCCACTTAGATCGCGAAAGGGTTCGGGTTATTTGAATTTGATAAAATGGACTGGACCGGAGAGCCCATATAAAGGGTGCACTCTAAATCACTAAATCGGCACGCTCAAAAGGCCAATTGTCAGCGGCTCGATTACGTAGATGGCGGTTGAGTCAGAGATAAAGGTTGTTGTGAAAGATAGGACACGGAACTGAACACTGGCCCTCAAGCAGAAGAAGGGATTTCACGGAGATGGATCGCTACATTTTTCTACGTTACCCCTGAATTGCCGCTTTCTGAACGAGTTTATACGCCTACAAAGTTTAAGAAGGTGAAACTGGTAAGCATAGCATCTCAAGGACATGGGCATCTGCCATGGATGCGTGGTCATAAAAAGACGTGCAAAAGGATATCAATGCGATCCTGCCTGTACCTATCAGGAAATGACGATAAACCTCGATAGAGCTCTAGTTTTAACGGTTTGTTAAACAGTTAAGATGACAGACAAGGTCACCTTAAATGTTAGAATTGGCCGTGAAAGATAAATCCATTAGCAATTCAAACGAGAAGAAATCGAACTCGGCAGACATTGATGCCATCAGTCTCGGCATCCGAATCAATGGCACGAAACGGTTCCGCCGCTTCCCACCCCGATAAGCCACCGACTGATGCCCAGGCTCCACAGATCGTTGTGATGCGCCCACGTTCTAACCTGAAAACGGGCGGTGGTCTGCTTCTCCAATGCAAAGCTCTAAAACGCAGATTGTCAACAAAGTAAGCACTCATCCAAACTGAATAAGAAAAAATTTATGCTAGCAACGTGACTAAAATGCGAAAAGTTCACTGAAAATCCACAAAATGAAACCGAAAAGATCGGATATCACAGGAACAGAGAGAACGGAGAAGGGGGATGGAAAGTAGGAATTGTCCGAGACGGGGTGTATTTATCTTTAGATGATATTAGCCGGCAGCTGCGGCTTGACAATGTTGTAGTTGATTGGCTGGCCACCGGCGTCGACCCCGTTCTTCCAGAACGACGGGAACTTCCACGCGCACCAGCCTGAAAGCAGTTAAAAAGGTAAAGAAATTGTGCAAAAAAAGACTAATAGTAAGACTGAAAATTGGCGAACTCCCTCCCCACTCGGCTTACCTTTGTTCGTCACAACATGCACATCGTCGACGCCTACATAGTGAGGATCTAGCACGAGGAAGCGGCATTCTCCAGTGGTGTCGTTAAAGTCGACGCCAAGAATCGTGTGGGCCAACATGTTACCACCTACAATTTGGTCGTGCAGCAAAAGGAGCTGAAGCTTACCGATCATCACTGGCGATCCGACGGTGTCGAAATGGACCTGCAGCTCACGCGCCTTCTCCGAAATATCGTTGAATTGGGCTGAACTTCGTAATTGAATAGGGGAACAAAAATGAACATAATCAATTTTACAGGGTGCGGAAAAAGTTTTCGGCGGCGCACCTTTTATCAAAAAGATTTGTCAAGATGAGCGTTTCGACTACATTTTTTGTGGTGTCATGATAGATTGGGACACTTCTCATCCAGTTTCATGAGCCAAAGATTTTTTAATAAGTGCTCAGCTAAAATAACCGAGCTCGGAACACCGATGCGCAGGCGAGTTTCGAAATTGGCCACCATTTGGCCGATATAGAAAGCGCGGTTAAAATTTTCCGTGGCAGACTACCAGGCTTCCGAGTTTACGGATTATAAAGAACAACCCCTTAGCATTATTCCATATCAATATTATTGCTTTGTCAACAGACATGGCTGAATTCTCAGGGGTTTTGGCTGAAAGGCGGCAGCGTGCCAAGGCTTTAGAATGTTCAGCACCGTCTAAAAGCTGTTTCCAGCGTTGGTATCAAGCATCGTTTTTCTTTTTTAATTTAAGGGGTGTCGGCTAAGAATATCAGTACGCTAAATCCCATTAGCAAGGCCGTTCTCTTCGGATTTTGTGATTACTGGCAGGAGATTTCCCGTCTCGACCAAAAATTCACCAAAATTAGAAGCGTCATAACTCTTTCGAATTGAAGCAAAATTTCTTGAGGTTTTGTGGGAAGATAGACCACAGGTTTGGCAACATCTCTACAAAATTTTGTGCCTTTTGACCAAGGATAGCTCGCAGGGGGTACTGTAACATCAACGAAACAACAGCGTGCCGGGGGCGTTTCTAAGATGATCTTTCGGTCGTTCTAATCGGGTAAAATCTTTGAATTTGGGTAATCCAGTCGTGACTTATGATCCATGAGTCTTCACTTTCCAGCCTCGAATCCAAAAAATCTGAATAAACCTCTAGGTTTCGAGTAACAGAGTTATTTGCCCCGCCGAAAACTTTCTCCGCACCCTGTAGCAGCGAAAGGGGACCCTCACCGATATAAGAGCAATCGATTCCGACCGCATCTGACAAAACATATCCAATCTCAAAGGATCCGATCCACTGCTTGCTTCCAACAAATTTTCGCCCGCGAATAGTCTCCCCTTCAATGCGAAGGAGGGCCTAAATGCTGGGTCAGAGAAATGATTTCGGATATACCTCCTGAATCTCCTTATGGAGGGGAATTGGGCGGTCAAAGAATCCATTCAGGACATACCAACTCCAAATAGTTTGCAGGCTTCTGAAAAGAGAAGCTGATGGCAAGTTGCGCAATTGGGGGGAAGAGTAACAACATCCACTAGACACCTGTATGCACAACCCCATCCATTATCGTCAATCCCCTGCTGCTTGTAATGGTAGTAATCGTAGGAACCCTTGACGGCAGAGATCCGCCCGGCGGGCTTGTCTGAAATTCACATAACAACAAGTCTGGACGGAAACTCACAATTCTTGATAGCTAGATGGGGATTTCGGAGGAAACCAGAGTTGGCAGTGAAATTGAGCGACTGCATGGACCGCAGACATGGCAGACTTGAGGAAAGATTGAACATCTTATGCAGCTCCACACGCCATTCCTCTGAAATAAAAGCTCAAGGAATGGTTTTTAGGTATCTTGGAATTTTGCAATGTGACATAACTCATTCGAGAGAGCTTGAAGTTCTGAACAAGTCCCATCTTTCAAAAATTGCTGAATGATAACCGTCTGAGATATTCAGTTTCTCAACGTTCGCATTTTGTTAAGTGGGGGTCTAAAAGGTAAAAATTGGCCCTTCCAAAGCGAATTTTGAAATTTTACAATTTTTGAAAAATGTTCAGACTTCAAGGTCTATCGAATGAGCTATTTCACATCGCAAAATTCCAAGATCGCCTAAAAAATGCTCCTTGTCAGCAAAATATCATAAACCTTACGCTGCTCGTTGTCGGCGAGACGTGGCATGACAAGGGAAAGGACCCTCATATGGTTGGGAGGCAAGAAGCAACGACAGTCCACCTCTTTCATCGCGTACTAAAAGCCGAATCTTTTTAATTGGCCAATTATACCGTTTTTCGGTAACCCTTCATCATCATGTACAATATGTTACGCACACGACGTCGCATGGCTTCCTCGATGCGCAGGTAAATCTGAAGTCAGGGCTTGAAAAGGGATAAAAATTTACAACCTCGTTGGATGCATCCCCTTCGTAGACCGCTGAAGTGATCCAAAGCGGGACCTTCAGCCGATCGAACAGAACGTCGCCTAATCACATAACACGTAAAAATAGATGCTAAAAATAATACCGATCTGCAATTTCGCCACCGGCACATGCTTTTGATCATCTCCATTGCCTTCATCTTGCGCAGACACACGGCGATACGAAATGAATCGGACCCGATCCTACAAGGTCGATGCTACGGCAATTCCAAAAAAAAACAAACCATATCGGTATGCAACCCCTTGATCAACGAATCGAGCACTTTGGGTACCTTGGTATTTGCCTGCAGCACGATATCGCTCTCCCTGAAACCAATTGAAACAAAAAAAAGCTCGTTTACTTGTTATGAAAAATCAATTCTGCGGTGGCCGCGGCGAACTTGTCGACGGCCATTTTCAAATCATGGTCCTCGGTACCCCGGCGCAAGATAGCCTCAAAGCCAACCTAAAAAAACGTATTGCAATTATCTACTCCTTACATTGGCTACGATCGTAGCTCCTGAAGGCTGGGTCCATTGGTCAATGACGTTCGGGTATGCTTTCAAAAGTTGTTCTGGAAGGCCGTGTTGCAGACATTCAATGCTGACCCGCATCTAAACACAATTGGGTTCGGAAACGCCAAAAACACGAACCTCCAGCGGCAATTGCCCCAAAAAAGTGAGATCCGTGTCGGGCTCATGGTCGGTGACGGTGAGCTTGCCGACAATTTGCAGATCTGATGACACTAATTTCTAATGGAATGAAGCTCACCGGACGGCAAGGAATTAAGGATAAAATCGAGCTGGTTCTGTTTCAGATGGACATCGGCTAGGAAGAGGCACAGGTCAATCTGAATTGTGTTAGCTGGCAGCGGACGGCTTACGCGGTGGTTCGAGCCGAATAGGATGCCCAGGAATCGACTCCTCTCCACTTCATACCACGAGGCAAAGTTTTTGAAGTTCTGAAAATAAAGTCTCGACGAAACCAAGGTATTACCTGGAATAAAGCAGAAGCTGAGATGACCCACGTTTCTTTCTTACCCATCTAAAATTCCAGTGTATACAACAAGGCAAGTCTTGGAGAGAGTATATCTATGGGAAACGACCCTTTCGAAAATTTCTTCGCGGAAAAGAGTACAAATATTTATCGAAATAGATTGCAGTTCAAGAATCGAATCCTTTGGCGACCAGGTAACAAGAAGCAGCAAAGAAGCTGAGCAGCGCGCCATTCTTTCCCGTCCACCAAAGTACTCCTAAAAACAATATATGGAAAACATGTAAGCATACGCAAAATCTGTGCTTGTATCGAGGGGGGGCGGGATCGTATTCATGTCGGAGCTGATCGTTTGCCGGGGAGTCCCATCTAAATCGTCATGTTTTTTTGTAAACAACGAATTGTCTCAGCGCCTTTCAAATTAAATTTGAATGACGGGATCAATGACCCGGGAAATTCACAGTGATTAGCCTATGTTCCAGGTTAAAAAAGAAAATTGCCTTCTTGGTTAGCATTTATTTCTACTCCGACAATTGGCAGGTTCGTCCGGCCTTTTCCTCCTCTCCAAGGCTGTCTTCTTCCAGAATGCAGTTGGCTGTGGTTGGTGGCGTGGCCGTTGCTGCCTGGTGGTGGTTCACCCGCAAACCCGCTGACGGTGCCCCAGCTGATGAGAACTCAAAGAAGACTGAAACCAAGGCTGCAACGGAGCAGCAACAGACCAAGACTGCGCAAGACACGACGGCCGCCACTCCCGATAACCGTGCCGCGCAAGTGATCAACTCGAAGGACGCGGCTGATGTGCTCGGCACGAAGAAGGAGAAGAACATTGGCACCACCGAAGACACAAACACAACCACCGGATCGAACGAGCCGGCCCTGCCACCGGGCGCACCGCCACCGATCAGGTGACTCAGATAATTCGCTTCTTTTGATTATATTCAATTTCAGGAGAAAACTGAGAAGACTGCTATCCAGTCCTCGTATGTTAACCTCCCGAAGGCGGCCAATGGGACGGAGAGCGTGCGCCTCGAGCCGACCGTCAGCAAGTCGTCGACCCATGGAGACACCCCGGAGTCGAACGTCAACACGTGTGCCGAAATCACGACGACGCGCTCTTCGGTAAGGACCGTCTACTTTAATCGGAAAAATCGAAAAAAAACAGACAGACCCGACTGACTCGTTTAGCACTCGACTACAACGGCCGTGGGTGGGGAAGTGACGACCCCGGTGCAGACGGGAGCGCAGAAGTCGATCAGCGCTCTGACGGCCCTCGTCCCGGAGGCCGAGCCCACCGCGACCACGGCCATCTCCGACACCAGCACCGCCAACCCAGCCGACACGACGACGGACATCGTGAACACGGCTCGTCCCGGCTCTACCACTACGACTGCCGTGCCTGCTGATGGCACCACGTCCGCCGTCAACACTGCCCGCGGCGCCGAGTCGAACCTCTCCGTGACAAACACCGCGCTGCCAGGGCCCGCCGAGTCGACGGTGAACACGGCCGCTGCCGCTCATTCCGAGACCAATACGGCCGCCCCGCAGCCCACGACCCCCCTGAACACCGCCACGCCTGGTTAGGCCTCGAGAGCATCCCTATAACTAATATTTATAGGAGATGACGGTGCGACGCCCAAGTCGAGGAAGCGCACGCTCAGTTCGGACACGCTGCCCGACGCCATCGTCGCCACCGAGGCCGATTTGAAGGCGGTCGTCAGCCAGCTGCCGGAAGCTGATGTGAAGACTGCGCGCGGCGTCGAGGGCTCTTCCGCTGAGACTGTGGTATACTCGTCCCAAATGCTCGAATATTAATTTTCCTAATTTAGGAGCCAGCGAACGCCGTCACCGCCAGCATCTAGCCCGCATTCTCCGTTCGCTCCACCCTCGACCCGACCCGAATCCCGAAGAATGCCGCCAACGCCCCTGATCAATTGCCGTAAATGGCCCCACCGTATCGAATAAACGGATTAAACGAATAATTGTTGCATCAACCAATGTTTACCTTTTTGTAATCCCCTCGAGATGTGCGGCGCCTGTGATGGCGACGATGATGGGGCCCTCCGTCAGTTCAGAATACAGGCGATGCTCATCTCTGAAAGAATAGAACATAACCAGGGTTGAAAAGCCGATTAATTGTAGAGGGCAGGAATCACCTTTTGCTTTTCGCAATTCCAGGCAGCATTTCCTGGAGCACAGCCGTCATATACACATCTCGTTCCGTCACCCAGACATTCCAAATCCGAGGAAGTCCTTGTTGCCACTGAAAGTATTTTGAGCAGCTCTAAGAAGCCGTACCCGCTTGAACAGCTCCGGGTTGGGCGCCGCATTACCAAAGTTCAGCTTGAACGCTGCGGACAGCCACAAGTAACTAAAGCACGTGTCTGGGCGAAAAAAAATCGCAAAACCTTAATGCTTCCCGAAACGTCGCGACCGAGTAGATACGCCCGATGGTTGTTTGTGCAGCTCGATCACCAAGCACCGTCGTAACATTGCCCAGTTCATTCGCAGATCTAAAAACACTTGTGTGGATAGTGTCATGGATACGGAGAATGAACCTTCGACCCTATAAACAAAAAAATCAAGCCTAATCTACCTGACCGCCGCTGCGAATTCACCCGGTGCATCACCAAATAGCTTCCACCGACGCTTCCGACTTCCCTACAAAAGGTAATATCGGAAAATCCACTTCCCAAACGAAAACGAAATGATGGGAATGTGACCAGGTAAGAGGCCTACGGTCTCCTTTCATAGTTACCCGGGCAACTGCCGCCCGGCCTAATTAAAATCTCAGCGGGCGCCATAGGAATTAGCAGCTGCATTCCAGGTGCCAATAACCGGGACACCAACTCACAAAGAAGACAAACTCACGTTTTTGGCTACAGATGTCTTCACCACCTCAAAGCGATCTTGGCAAAGCTCTAAGACGACGACGTCAGGCCGCAAGCTTCTGAGCGCAATATTAACATCTGGGGTGGGGCGAAAGTGGAGGAAAAAAGGCAAAATTACCTTGACAGCTGCCCGGCGAATCGTGTTTCGTACCAAGAATGTAGACCTGAGAATCCTAAATCAGTATTTAAGCTAAATTAGAAATTAATAATCAACCGCCAAACAACGCTTGTATCTGGGCTCAGCCTCGGCGATGATGAACTTGGGACAATGGAGTCGACGCACTAAAGCAGGTATATAAAAAAACAGACATTATTACCGGAAGCCGGTAAATCTTTGCAAGACGCAGCCGGGACGCCTGTTTTGCGTGGGCGTATCGGACATCCTTTTTTAACAAACTGATCGATGAAAAGCGATAAGATGACCTACATTAAAATGATCATAGACTATTGGGAGATTCGTGGCATCAGTTAGACGTCTGCTAAACCCAAGTACTGGGAGAAACACAGGCTTACCAAGAAACGAAATGGGCCGGCCGAAGCAAGCCTGGAGCTGCGAGGAGACTGGTCATTAATACTATAAATATAGGCAGATTAACTGAAAACATTTGTACACATATATGGCGCCAAGAAAATAAGTTATACACCAATGTGTGCCTTCGTGTGAATAATACAGCGTTAATAACCAAGGCAATCCGCTAAATAGGCAAGTAGTGGCAAATATTATATTCATCAGTATTACACGTAGTATATCATCTCCATAGACTTATTTATAACATATTTGTACAATCATAACCATTTGATGGGATTCATAAATTGATATACATAAGAATTTGTACCATATTCACTCATTGATACCGCCGGGACGCTCCTTCCTCTTTGGCCACCTGCGCGTTATGAGGGAGGATCATCCCCTAAAAATGAGTGATTTACCACGAATCGAATTCATACCAGTGGCATGTTTGTTTGTGCGTTCAAATATAACGCGAAGGGTTGACTGGGATGGAAGAGGACTGCATGGCTGGGTTCGGAGACAACAGCAGTTGGCGGTCGGTTGAGGAAGCGTCGGATCAGACAATAGCCCGCTCTGTCGCCCCGCGTACGCCATCTAAACATTCACCCAATGCAGTGCTAGCAAAAGCTCGTTTGAAACTGTAGCAAGCAAAGACCAACTCGACCGCCTGGCCCTCAAACTTTGCAGTGAGGAATCCGTGCAACTCGTTGGCATTCACGTAGAAAAGACAGGGGTCGAAGTAAGGGCTGAAAGTCCGATAATCAAATTGCCGTGTTGGTTTCCGAGGGGTCTATACCTTGCCTTACTTAGGGGCCTTACCTTATTTGCGGTTGCTGGTTCATACTGTATGGGACACCGAGGATCTGGCGACGCAGCGATTCGAGATACGGTGCTGAATCGAGCTCGTCGCCTTGTTCTTTTGACCTACCTTGTTGCAATTGATTTTGTAGTTCTGCGTCCAAGTCTTCGGCATCACCCTCGATTGCACCGTTAACCAATGACATGTACTCGGACATTCCTTTGTACAACACATGACTGGCCACCGCACATTTCGACGCGGAAACCGGGTATCGGTTATACGTGTATCCCGACGACTAGAAGAAGCGAAAAAAGAATTAAAGTGGTGATCTGAGCGCAAGGGCTGCTCCGAAATGGTGTCAAGTTGTGAACATACCGTGATCTCTTCAGAAAAAGCCGATAAAACTCGCAGAAATCTGTGTCCAAAAATTCATCCATTCCATACACCTAAAAGCAATAGACTTCTCGCGGTCCAAGGATTACCCCGAGCACTCGTGGTTGCTCCCAATCCAAAATCACGGTGTAGTGACGTAATTCATCCCCGGAGCCCTGGCGGCGGTAAAGCCATTCTGAAACATAGTACGAGGCACAAATTCGACAAATACCATTCGAGAAACGGATTAAAAGCCGGCTCGTGTCGAGTAAATGGAGACTCTCCATCCTCATTTTCTCCAAACGTTCGATGTCGCTCAGGAATAAGTAGGCCTTTGTTGGTGCTAATGCCTGAAAAGAGTACAGTTGCGGAAGGAACGGCACAACAACTTGGCAACGCGTGTAGAGGAACGTGAAAACCATTTGTTTGAAGGCCGATATGTAGCTGCCATATTGAATGTGCTTGCGATCTTGTCTAAACAGACAAAATTAATAGAATTAAACCCTATGATTATACCTCCAATAATCCGGTTCACCATCTTCAACAACCGACCCAATCCACTTCAGCGGTTCGAAATTCCCTTCCGCGTTGATTTTATAAAGATGTATGCTCTGGTGCTGCCATGAGAGTATCGCCAGGATTCGTCCACGAATTGATACTCCACCGCTTTCTGGTATCCTATCCAGCGGGAAGAACAATTCGGCCTGTGGGGTTAATGGCTAAAAAATGGTGAAGCTGTTGGCAGAGCTACAAACCGGTGGGGCATGCGGGTCGTTCCTCGGTGGTAGTTGACCGGTTACGTAATGGGGAGGCTCTCCTCCGACCGGAAATTGATTAGGTGCTCTGCGAATGTCCGGCAGATCTTTCTAAAAAGATATTGAGCCAAAAGCCCGGCAACGAACACCCGAAAATCCAATTTTTCGACTCACTGGAAGTTTGAAGGAAAGTAGCCGAATCTGAGCGAGATCACTAGTCAGGTCGAACGCCTCATTACTAGTTGCGACCTCGGCAATGTAGTTGCGGCTATTTTCGTCAAGCTGAGAAGACGTTTCCAACTAATTTGGGTCCACCTGGACGTTCTCTGGGCGAAAGCCTTGGAAATGCATCACAATGAAGTAGTCCGAGTCCTCTGTGAAGCGGACAAATTTACGGACCAGCATCCCATTGGTCATTGCATTGGTGCTGTCGGCTCTCCAACGTCCCACCGCTGGTAATACCCTCTGTGGGATGACGATTTTAGGTGGAAAAACGGCATACGTCAAAAGATTGCATCGATTTCTCGCAGCCATAAAGGCGTTCAAGTCCCATGTAGCGATGAACAGTCAGCATGCGCAATGTTCGATGAAACAATACAACGTAGTTTCCGCAGGGGGACCAAGCAATCGGATCGCCGTGCACGCGAAGATCAAAAAACTGAAAGCGTGCAATAACTGAAAAGATAAGGCACCTCCTCATCAAGTGTCAGTGTGCGGAGTAGCTCACGACTCGCCAATTGTCCAGAGGTGCCTAAAATGTGAAAGAGGCTGTGTTTTTCGATCGAAGTTAAGCGCGTACCAGGCCGCATATCTCCCAACTCGCGCCTTCGTAGCATCCGCATTGGGTGCTGTGGTGTGCTGAACCTCACTCGCTCCCATTCCTCTCGGGTTAATACGCCACGTTCCACCATATCTCTAAACCCCCAACTAATCAACGAGCTGGACAAATTACAGAAAGTTCTCTAGTCAGTCAGATACCATCGGATCGAATCGGAAATTCGTGTTTAAATTACCCTTTATTCGCATAGCACAGAATAACATTGCCATCACAATCAATTTTTCAACGGAAAATTTGTTGGCGGATTTGCCGGGGGAACACAGACTAGGCAGACTACCTTGCTACGAGACGCGGAACCTGTTAACGGGAGACACAATTTAATCATAATTGAATGACAAATGCATACTTAGCCGGAAAGGGTAGAATGTCACAGCTTCTAAAATTTGGGGCTAATCCGGGTATATATGGCGCGTCCGAAGCGGTAGGTGCAGTAGCCGACAGTTCCCCAGAAAGCCAGCCTGATGGTGCCGCCTAAATACGATTATTACCGAGGCTCAACTAAAAGCAAAAAAATATACGCCTTACCGATGATGCGTGAAGACAATGGCTGTGGCGGGATTTCAACAAGCGGTAGAATGTTGATGTCATCTCCCCACCTGTAATTCAAGAATGAATGTTTCAGGAAGAAACAGTACCTGGCCTCGATACCGGGCATATGTCCTATTCCGACCACAGCCACAACGCGCAGTGGTTGCCAGGCACAATTTGTTCGCGACCAAGCCTCCCTACAACCAAGACGATCCTTATAAACATGAAGTAAATTACCTTTTTGACTCGGTCTGACGGAGCAATAGCGTGTGAAGCGCATGTGCCATGTACGCATCGCGCTCATCGACAAAAATTTTGGACAGCTTTGGAAAATCGCCGGCCATCTAAATTATCCTCCATGCAATAATTCGGGGGTACTCACCTCTGCCAACAGCTGCTCTAATAAATCCTTCTGTTTGCACTTTTCAACGTCCTCTTGAGTAATTTTCGAGTTGTGCGAGATTAAGATGTGGTAGAAGAATCTGAAAGCGAGGCATTATAAGGTTTCTCCACAAACAATTACTTTAGTTTTTGGAAGAAGGTCATCGAGGCGAGGGCGCGTTGTAGCGTTATTTGAATTGGACGGTCACCAAGGATAAGACGACACTGCTCCACTTCGACCGATGCCCTGAACATCAATAACAAAATTATTGGTAAGACCGACTTGTGGGCAGCTCGAAATTCGCCTCCGGGCGCCATTGACAGCTCACGGGTGATATGCGCCGACATCGAGAGAAGAAGCACGTGTAGAATTCCGTGCACCAGGCCGGACTAAAGAAAATACGCGTTTTGTTAAAGGCAAAAACCAACCTGTTTGATGGTCTGCATTATTTTGCTGGAATTCAGATCCTTGGCCTCCCGGAGCAGCGTTTGTTCGTCCAGGGAGAGGATCGTGATACGGCTTGGGCAAAGTTCGACCATAACCAGGTCTGGCTGTACGGCTTTTATGGTACGAATCACATCTGGAAACGTTAGGTGTTTTCAAACGTATCGCGTCACGACAGCTGTAAAAATATTACTAACCTTCCTGGCTATCTCTACTGAAATGCGCAGTTCCGACCAAGTAAACCGTCGCATCCTGAAAAGGTTACACAGACAAAAAGGCCCAATTTACCTCAAACGCCGCATTCCAGTCTTTCTGATTCTGGTTAGGCGGGCAGTCGGGAAAATCGAAGGGAAATTTCAAAACAGTAACTAAATCCGGAATATCTTGAAACGGTGATAAGCTAACCTGTGCTAGGGAGTTCAATGTGCAACGGACGTTGGCGTTCGAACATGAAGCCTCCAAATATACGACTCTGAACATTTCCGGTAAAAAACCCCGATAAAAAATGGTTACCTGGTGCTGCTGCTCGGTCTTTTCTTGACCACCCGTGCCCGCTTCTTCCAGGTCGTCATATTCGTCAGTGATCTAAACGACGAAATGATAATAGAAAGCCCGAAAAATACATGTTCATCGAAGTTGCTGCTCGAATCGGCAAGCGAAACGATTGAAGGATCGGCATGTTCGGACGCTGGATTCGCCGAGCCTGTCGCCAAATCTTTCATCCGGAACAGATCCTAGAAAAAAAAATTGATCAGTAGAGGTCTTTGCTAAAATATTTTCTCGGCTAATTCTTTAAAAGCTGTACCTCTTCCGTGAGCTGACCCCTCTCATCATCGCTATTCTTCGGGATCAGTTCCGGTGGACTGTCTCCGTTATCTCCGCTGGCGCTCGACATCTAAAATTTTGCCGTGTTATTTTGAGACTATTATCATTCCGGAGAGCATTCACTTGAAAGATAGAACGCGAAAATGAATAGAAAAGAGGGTAATGCTGAGCCCGTTGGTGCGATAAACGCTCGCCCCGCGAAATTTCTGTGGATGAGCTGGTCAGTTGTAAAGGGGGTACTTCACAAAATGTCGCAACATTGCTAATCGAATCTCATCATGCAGTTTTTTTGTTTTTTATAGTCACATAAAGTCATGAATCTAATAGATATCGTGGCTCGCAATAGCTATGTCAGTTGTAGCGGGGAGTAGCCGCCGATATCTCAAGCCACCTTAGGTTCGCTCGCGGCCCGAATATCCAGGCAGGCTCAGATTTGCTAGTATAATGCTGCGTAAAAAAAATAGTATAGTTATGCCGCGAGTAATTTATCAATAACCAAGGATTTTCCCTGCAAGACGAATCGCTTCTAGATAAACTTAAGCCCATAGATGCGACCTGCGGAAACAAATCTACCCAGAAAATTTTACTTTAAGTCCACATAGGCCGCTTCCGACGCCAACCGTCGCGGAATTTGAAGTCGACTCGTCATAAGGAGCCTCCCTGCTGTGTGGAACTGAGGGAACTATGAAAATATTGTAGGAAAAAAGGGTCGGCCTTTTTCTCGGTTTCCTGGGGCGACAGTTTGACCTGCGACTTTTTTGGAGAGAAGGGCTAAACTCTAGTTTACCCCCCAGCCGTAACTTTTCAGCCATACGTCCTATTAATGCGCCGAGTATCTCAAAATGTTCCCCGTGGTCGAATTACTATAAAAAAAGTTGTTTTCTTACATACAAAATTGTTAGAAAAATTTTTATAACAATTATAAGTCTGGGTTTTCTTTAGTTAATTTTTGCTGTTCCAAAGTGAGTTTTCGTATCTCGGCTATCTTTTGACGTACAGAGCTGTCAATGGTACCAAAATGTAGCTCTTGCTCTGTAGAATAAGCCTACAGTACGTTTGAGTCGAAAAAAAATAGCGGCAAATAAAAATATTTGAGTTTTAGGCTCCTGGTACATTGAAGCACAGCGGCTTAATCTTTTCAACTTTCAAAATCTTGTAAAAAAAATTCTAGCAATTTTTGCCGCAAGAAAACAACTTTTTATAGTAATTCGACCACGGCGAACATTTTGAGATACTCCGCGCATTAATAGGACGTATGGCTGAAAAGTTAGGGCTGGGGGGGTAAACTAGAGTCTTACCGAGAGAAGAAGCCATCCGGGCGAAAATTAATTAATGTCGAATACTGAGCAAAGCGGCGTTCAGTGTCTTGTATTTCTGCAGGCAAAGCGGGCACTTCTTCTTCTTCACGAACTCTTCATTGAGCATGCATACTTGACAGACGGGATGCGTACAGGTCAACATCATGGGCTGGTGGAGTCTAGGAAAAGAGTGAAAAGCTACTGAAAGTATCTACCGAGAGTTATACCACCACCCCGCAGTCGGTGACAGGACATGTGGGGAACAGGCCAGCCAGAACATCCGAAGGCGTCATCTGAAGCATGTAATAACAATGGATTGCACAATACGACAAAAAAAAAAGACAAAGGATGAAAAAGAAAGAATATATAGAAATTTTGGTTCATTCAAAATATCGGGGTAGGGGTTTTGCGGAAAAAATCGTACAGGGTGGCCAGAAAAAAAAAAATGCCTGGTTTGCGTCAAAATATCTCGCCGGCAGAAACGAATTGAACTATCGTTACCTTGTCAGAATGCTTAAATATGCTGCGTATGAAGAATAAACACAAGTTGTTTTTTTATGATTTTTGACGACCCCGTCGTCAAAAGTTTTGACCATTTTTAAGAAAGTTTTGATTAGTTTTGATTTGACTTTTGATGAGTTAGTGGGACTTCAAGGGGGAAAATTTCACTTTACGGTAACTAAATAAAATGTCGATTTTTCGATTGGAATCGATAGATCTCGTCGAGTTCTACCATTTCCAGTTGAAAAAACTATTGGGACTTGCTTCTAAAAAAAGTTATAAACATTTTAAATTGGCTAGTTCACTTTACGGTAACTAAATAAAATGACGATTTTTCGACTGGAATCGATAGATCTCATCGAGTTCTTGCATTTCCCGTTGAAAAAACGATTGGGACCCGCTTGTAACGAAAGTTATAAACGTTTTAAAGTGGTTGGTTCACTTTACGGTAACCTCGTAAAAATGCGATTTTTCGCCTGGGATAAATAGATCTCATCGAGTTCTGGCATTTACAGTTGTAAAAACCTTTCGGAAAGTTGTTCGGAGGAAGCTACACTATATTTTTGAAATTTTTGACTGTGAAATTGTCAGGCAAGGCGGGCCGTCGCTTCGGATGGGCTGCCGCTCCACTCTTTCGAAATGGGGGCGCCCCCGGCCGCTTCGCCGGCCTTGGCGCCCCCATTTCGAAACCCTGTACGAGCTCGCACCCATCCGAAGCGACTAGGCCCCCGGTGGCACGAAGCCTTTTTCTAGTCGCAGAGCGAAGGAAGGAGCGGTCACTTCCCTCCAAATTGAGTGACTTCCGTTGCAAAATCGTCTTTTTGATGTTTCAGAAATTCAGAAATTCGGAAGAAGTACAAAATGTGTGCTAATAAAGTTTTTCCTGCGCCTTTTGCAGCGGCCCCGTATTTGGTACCCCAGTACGTTCACAACTATTACGTTTTTTCCGTACAAAGGAGTCCCTCGTAGCCGAAACCGACTTTTTCGATGCGGGGTGAATTGGTTTAAAACAGCTATAACTTTTGTTAAAGGGATACCCAAGGTTTTGGCGGCAAATATATAGTTATGGATTCCAGGCAGTACAAATGACGCTCGAATTTTGTGCGGCAATGGGCCCCCAATGCCGCACAGAATTCGGCCACCTTTCCCTCTTATGGCGTCCCCGTCCCATCCAATGGCTTGCCACTATGGCCTAATGGATAACATCCGGGCCTACCAAACGGGGGTCCCGGGTTCGACCCCCGCTCGCGGCATGGTTTTTGCTTTTTGAGCCGCGCAAAGATTGGGCATCCCTTTAAAAGCGAGTCCCAATCGTTTTTTCAACGGGAAACGCGAGAACTCGATGAGATCTATCGATTTCAGTAAAAAAATCGACATTTGATTTAGTTACCGTAAAGTGAACTAGCCAATTTAAAATGTTTATAACTTTTTATAGAAGTGAGTCCCAATAGTTTTTTCAACTGTAAATGGTAGAACTCGACGAGATCTATCGATTCCAATCGAAAAATCGACATTTTATTTAGTTACCATAAAGTGAAATTTAGCCCTTCAAGGGTATCAAAAAGTCGAGCAGAGGCGATTCCGAATTGACCATAAAAAGCACATAAAAGTTCCATGCTTTTCCTCTTCTAAGTTTTCTACTTTTTTAAAAATGTTCAAAACTTTTTAACGAGTAGGGCGTCGTCAAAAATCATAAAAAACAACTTGTGTTTATTCTTCATACCCAACATCTTTAAGCATTCTGACAAGGTAACGATGGTTCAATTCGTTTCCCCAGCGAGATATTTTGACGCAAACCAGGCACTTTTTTTTCTGGCCACCCTGTATAAGAAAATGGCGGTTCCGACCGAGAGTGCGTATCCGGGACCATGACATTTCCGCCAGCGGCATTTCTGCCAACGGCCAAAATGCGCTGTTTCATGCGTGTAGTCCTAACAATTCAAGTTCAATTGCTTTCGTCCGGATCTAGCTATTACAGAAGAAATAACAAACTTATGATGGATTTTTCTTGCAAATCAGATTTTGCACCGGAAAAGGTAAAAAGCGCGGTATTATGCCCAAAACAACCCTCCCGCATTGTCTCGATAGCGTGGGAG